CAGCCCGGGGCCTGTGACGGCTTCGTTTTAAGATTAGGTGTTATTGCCCCTCCGTGTCTCGAGTGTAACTACTGCTGGGCGAGGTTTGTGTGACCTGTGAACATTACTGGCCTTGCCTGCTATGTATGGATGTTACCGGTCTGGCATAAGGTGAATCCATACCTGGGGAGTCCCACAAATTACAGGAGCCGATTTGTAGTCCTTGCGATTTGTAGTCCTTGCCTCTCGTTACACATTTCGTCTTGCTTTCACTTTCTTAATTTTGTGATTTATTTAAAGTGAAAGCTTTAGAACGTAGTAGATGCACTTGGTATTTTAACAATTCCTTGCCTTTGTCAGGCTTGCTGTTTCATCTTCGGTGCAGGTGTCATAGTTGCTGTCTACAAAAGACCTGATCAAGTTGAAAAGCATGCAGTTTTGTCAAAATGTTTCTTGTTCTTAAATGAAACATCTCAGAAGTCTACGAGAATCATATGGATCTTTCAATGAGATAATTTTTTCTTAGCAGTGTACGAATGCGAGTATTTGGGTAAGGTTCTTTCAGCTTTGCAAAAGCTAAAAAGAGAGTTAAAAGCAGTTATTTTTGTGGTATTTTCAGTCTGTATAAATATTAATGCAGGTGGTCTCTTCCTAGTTGTGGGACGTTGCTTACTGGGTTTTCATGTCATTTGGACTATTTTTTTTTTTTTTTATATATAGCAGAGAATATTATAAGTTAAAGTCTTACCATAAGAAAAGCACAGAGGGTCAGGTATTCCACTGTCTTTCGTCTTGCAATGTTCTCTGCTGATTTGGTGTCTTGCTATAGTATGTAAAATACACGTGTTTACAGAACTGCAGTGTGTGTTTGTTTATGAATGCTTTAGAAGAGTATGTTGAGCTTTCATAAGGGACTGCCCATGTGATTACAGAGCTGATGCCTCCAGCCTTCATACTGAAATCGAAATGTTTACTTACCGCTCACCAAGAGAACATTTATATGACTGTGGCACGTGGAAATATTTGTGAATATCAATTATGAAATGTACATCTCAGTTGCAAATTTATAAACAGAACTTCACATGAGTTGCAACAACATGATGTAAGCAACAACCTTTTATTTTAGTAAAAAGAAAAAAAGTGACACCCCCCCCGAAAATACAAGAATGATCTTTGACGTGTACGATGTAGAGTCCTAGTCCAATTTCCCCGCTTTCTGAACAGTCTGCTCTAAACCTATAAGAGCGAGGAATACCACGGCAAAATTGGGAGGAGAGGAAGGGTGAAATAATTTGTGTAATCTGTTCCGGATTTTTTTGGCCTGAGTTTTTAAAGAATTACCCGATGAAGCATATGGTGTATTTTCCAAAATGTTTTCCAGTTTTGTATCTCTTGAAGTGCTTTATGTCCTCATGAGTTCTTGTGGCAAGGAATTCTACAATATAATTGTGCAACACATGACAATTCCTTTAATTGATTTTTAATTTCCTATCTCTTACGTTCTTTTTATGTCCCTTTGTTCTTGTGCTGTGAAATAGGGAGAACAAACCTGATTAACATGTTAGTATTACTATTTTTTCTTATTGTTTCTTATTCTTCTCTCTCTGTTTTTATTCTTATTTTTTATCCGGTGAAGTAGGTGAACCTTTTGACTCCATCTTCCTCTAAGTGCTTGACCATGCTCATGTTTCTTTGAAATTTCTAGTTTCCCCCTCCCCTGTAAAATTTTTTAAGATATTTTGCTTAGGAAGACTTTTTTCCATAGCACCTATCGTTCCAGAAGAGGTTAGACCATTGACCTGTATAACTGGCTTTTAATAGTATTCATGTGATTTCCCGTCTTGCTTGTTGTTAGATTCTCCTGCCTTGTTAGTTTTTGTTGACTGAACAGAGATTTGTGGAGAAAGATTTGCTTATAGATGGATTTCTGAGCGCTAACATATTACCGGGGGGGAGAGTATATGCTTATTTTCTGTAAGACGTTACTCCTTGAGGGAAGCCTTCAAAATGTGTAACTGAATTTATTTTCATCTGTGTGATGTTTGCATTTAGAATATCATAACAGCAGGTTAATTATGTAACAGTCCATTTGTGTAGAAATTCAATGGACAAATTTATCTGGAAGTCCATGGCAGCTGACACATGCAATGGCATTACGCTGAGTTCATGAGTGCTTCTGGGCTTTTAATTCTTGGGTATATCTTTAAAAGTGTTTATAAAGGTGAATGTTGAGGGCGGCTATTGCTTTTATAAATCCTGTTAGAAGATTGTTCTGTAATGTGCTTCACTTTTAGAGTGCAGTTGTCAGAATGATTCCTTAGCAGTCCTTTTACTTATGCGTATATTGCTTTTCTAAAATTACTATTGATTTATAATACTTGCTGATGGGCTGTTCAGTTAAGGACTTCACGAAACTTCTCTATAGAAATTTATTTAATTTATTTTAATAGTGAAAATAATTATACAAATGAAGGATTGTTTAAGTTAGTGGTTTTCGTTTTGACTAGAGAATACTATATGTATATATTCTGACTGATGCAAGATAGGAATCCTTGCATAAATTACTGGCCATTGGGGAGCCAAATTCATGCTGCTTTCTGTATTTGTAACAGCGAAGCAAGTTAAATGAGCTGAATATCTGCTGCTTGAAGGACCTCTGTCGTACTTCATTGTCTTCTGTCAGCCAGTCCTCAAAGTTTACTTCAGATGAAAGCATTTCTGTGGACAGCTTCTGTACTACCATTTACTTTAAGCTTATGAGACTTGCATCATATTTCCAGATTTATGTCTTTTTTGTCACTTTGCTTCCTAGCCCCCGTTTTTTTTCTGCTTTCACATTTTCTTAGTGGCTTTACTGGGCTTCAGTGGAAGCGCAGTGGACATGCCTGTCCGCTGCAGCTAGTTCCAAGCTTTTCAGCAGTGTAGGTAGACAAATTTAGAAAACACGAGTTGAATGGTAAATTGTGTCCAATGGAGAGAGGAGGGGTCAGCCTGGAGGCCTGGTGGGCCCTTGCTGACGTTGCCAGCCCCTGCTCGCTCAGAACGCTGGGCTGGTGAGGTGCCTTGGGAGCACGTTTCCAGGTTCGTGACGGACAGGGGGTAGGGTCTGCTAGTGATGCCTTGCAGTGGCTTTTTCCCTGATCAACAAGACTGTTGCTTGGACACAAAACAGAGCGGTGATTGAGATCAACCTTACTAGGGCTGTTTTGCAGCCATCCAGCAGTTGGGTGCCCTAAGCAACACTAACTGTGCTGATGTCTAGAGCTTACTCTGTCATGTCGTCAAGAACCAAGCAAAAATCTTGCATAAAATTGTAACCACACCTGAGGTTTTAGCAGAAGATAGTATTTGATTACTTACTGTAAATTCTGTCCTAATAGTGACTCCAAGGAATACTTGCACACTTTTGCCTTATGTTTCAATTGTTTTGACATACCTTTTTGGACTGTACTGACATGCATGTAAGTTCTCCAACAGATTAACTGTGTCATATTTTTGACTTAATGTACAGAGAGTAGCCCCGGGCAGAGCATGCTTAGATTTTTCAGATAGCAGCAGAAACCCGCCGGAGTAGTGCATAGAGAGCACAAGTTTTAAGCAGCACTAGGTTTACAGCATGGTGAAAGACCTGTGTTGAGATCAGGAGTTAAAGATTAAGACTGGTACTTGTGGTATAAACATGATGCTTTAAATTTGACATTTAGATTTGGCAAAAAGTTGGAAATTGTGTTCTTCTGGAAAAAAACAATCATTTGCTCAGCCACTTGTCCAGAAGTTTTCACAAATTTGTTTCACAGATTCTTAAAATTTTTGTATCTATTTCAGTATTTCAGAGGTAACAATTTCTTAGTGTTTTAGAATCAGGTGACATTGGCAAAATACTAGATTGCATTTTTCTGCCTTGGTCAGAGCAGAAAAAATGTTTATACTGAAGATCTCAATGTTAAGCCTTCATATTTTTGTTTT